AACAGTAAAAAAAGACTTAAAGATTCCATTAGAAGGCTGGGCACAGTGGCTCACACCTCTATTCCCAGCACTTTGGGAAGCTGAGGTGAGAGCATCACGTGAAGCCAGGAATTTAAGACAAGCATGAGCAAAAGAGTGAGACCCCATCTCTAAAAAAATTTTTTTAAATTAGTAGTCAGGAATGGTGGTGCACATCTGGGGTCCTGGATACTCAGGAGGCTGAGGCAGGAGGATCACTTGAGCCCATTTCAAATCTTCAGCAAGACATAATTGTGCTACTGCACTCCAACCTGGGTGACAGAGTGAGACCCTGTCTCCAAGAAAAAGGAAAAAATAGATTCCATTAGAAAATGAGCAATACATGAACAGAATTGCACCAAAATGAATACACAGATGGCAAAGAACATGAAGAAAAATGTTCAACATCATTAGTCACTAAGGAAATGCAAATTAAAACCACAATAAGCTAAGCTATCATTGTACGCCTATTAGAATGGCTAAAATAAAAACACAGTAATACCAAATGTTCACAAAGATGTGGAAAAAACAGATATCTCATACAATGCTGCTAGGAATATAAAATGGTAAGGCTCTGGAAATCACTCTGGCAATTTCCTATGAAACTAAACATGTACTTATCATATGACCCTGCATGTGCACTCTTAGGCATTTATCCCAGAGAAATGAATACCTACGGCCACACAAAAACCTGCATGCTAATGATCACGGCAGCCTTATCTGTAATTGCAAAGCCAGGAAACAACCTAAATGTTCTTCAACTAGTGACTGGATAAAGAAATTCTGGCCTATCATCCAAGGGAATACCACTCAGCTGAAACAAACTACTGATATACACAACAACCCAGATGTGACTTGAAAGGATTACATTTGGTGAAGAACATCAATCCCAAAAGACTGCATAGTTTTGGACTCTATTTAAGTAACATTCCCGAAATTACAAAATTTTCGAGATAGAGAACAGATTAATCATTGCCAGGGAGCAAAGATGGGGCAGGGTGGCTCTGATTATGAAGGGGAAGCAAAAGGGAGGTCATTGAATAGTTTTATATCATGACTGTGGTGGTTGTTAAATCTATACATGGGATAAGACCACATAGAACAATACACACACACACACACACACACACACACACACACACAGACAAATGCATGTAAAATGGCAAAAATTTGGTCTATATTCTAGTTAACAATCTTGTATCAATTTCCTGGATTTGACATTGTACTATAATTACGTAAGGCGCCACCATTAGAGGAAGCGTGGTTTCAGCTACATGGGACTCTATGTACTTTTGCAACTTCCTGTGAGTCCATAATTATTTTAAAATAATATATTTTTAAAAACTAGTGTGGGGTCGGGAGCAGTGGCTCACACCTATAATCTCAGAACTTTGGGAGGCCAAGGTGGGCAGATCACTTGAGGTCAGGAGTTCGAGACCAGCCTGGCCAATAATGGCAAAAGCAGTCTCTGCTAAAAATACAAAAATTAGCCAGGTGTGGTGGCACATGCCTGTAATCCCAGCTACTCGGGAGGCTGAGGCACAAGAATGGCTTGAACCAGCAAGGTGGAGGTTGCAGTGAACCGAGATCATGCCACTGCAGTACAGCCTGGGCAACAGAGCTAGACTCTGTCAAAAAAAAAAAATTAATGTTGGATTCCAGGGTGGCAGAAAGCAGCCTTGGTGAATTTCTTTGCTAGATTTCTTCTTCCTGTGTTAGCTGTCCTCCATGCACAGCTGGGGTAGTTTAAAAATTCCTCCTCCTTTTGACAAGTTTTACAAATAGTGTTAAAAGGAAGTGCACCAATGCTTCTTTGTAAAAAGGATTGTTTTCTTATGTGGCAGTTATTTTAATAATATATTTACAAATAAAAATTATATACACATGGTAAAAATATTAACATTTTTAGACCCTAAAGAGCTTTTGCTAATGCAGGTTACAGATCCATCAATATTTACTATATTAGAAAGGAAAACTGAAATTTTAAAACATATGTATTAATGGCCAGGCACGGTGGTTCACACCTGTAATCCCAGCACTTTAGGAGGCCAAGGCAGGCAGATCACCTGAGGTCGGGAGTTCAAGAGCAGCCTGACCAACATGGAGAAACCCCATCTCTACTAAAAAGTACAAAACTAGGCAGACGTGGTGGCACATGTCTGTAATCCCAGCTACTCGGGAGGCTGAGTCAGGAGAATCGCTTGAACCTGGGACATGGAGGTTGCGGTGAGCTGAGATCGCACCATTGCACTCCAGCCTGGGCAACAAGAGTGAAACTGTCTCAAAAAATAAAAGTAAAGAAAGAAGGAAAAAGAAAAGAAGAAAAAAGGGAGAAAAAATATGTATTAATACATTAAAAATAATAAATCCACTGATTATCATAAATAAAATTTTATTAAAATAATTGCATTTTAAAAAACAAAGAATTTAGGAATGTTTTACATTTCTAAAAATCTCTTAAATGTCTGCCTCAGTACAAGACAGCTAGATTCTCATATTTGCTTCTTCACTTAATGTTGTAATATGCTGTTTTGGATAAAGTATATGAAGACAAATCCAACATCATGGAGATATGTGTTAGAAAAAGGATTTCCCAGACACCTGAAAGGGTCTCAGTCTCAGGTGTCACCAGGACTCTTCACCTCAGTCTCAGGTGTCACCAGGACTCTTCACATCACACTTTAAGAACCAATATGTTAGAGAGACATATTGAAACATTTTCAGATAAAATGTTAAGATGTCATCAGTTTGCATTAGAGTACTCCAAAATACACAGAAAGACAGACAGACAGACACACACACACATGTATGTATACTTGATTCATTATTTGTGGTAGTTATATTCTATATAAGGTCACCTCAAGCAATGAATTACCAAATACTGAGCCACTGCTACTAGTGGAAATACAGGTTTAGGTTCCTGGGAGCCTCTGGTTACATCCTTAAAATGATCAATACACAACTTAAAGTATAATAATAATAATATAAGAATAGACATAACTATGGAAGAATAAAAGCCTGAAAACAGTAAAAAAAAAAAAAAGATCACTACACAACCTTTTTATGTATGCTTCTGTCTAAAGACACCTTCTTTAATATATGTTTCTTAAAATAATAAATGATATGCAGTATTTTATAGCAAAACACTAGCCAAGAAGTGTTTAACATTTTCCTGATCCTGGGTTAACATCACCATAAATTTCTTTGGTTTTCAAAAGCCCCACAACCATGCTGTCCACTATGCTTTTTCTAATCAGTAGTCATCTCATGAATCCGCAAATTTTGCTGCTTTTCCATTTATTCCATAGCTTCATTATACACTAAAGATGCTATTTTAGCACCATACAGAGTGTCTTCACATATAGATTGGCAAATTTCCTATTCCTTTTTCTGGATGTACTATGTTGCTGATTTATTAACACTGAACTGACAGTGTTATAACTCATGCCTGATGGAAGCCTATTTAAGACATGTATTTTCCCATATAGGGCACATCACTGCCTTCTGGCTTTTAGAAACAGTGGACAGTACTTCAGCACTATGATTGGGGATCATCTTAAACAGCGAAATCACCAAGAAAAGTCACAAAAATATGGCACTAAATCGACTATGAAAGGGACACTTGCTTACAGTATAAGAGCAAAAACAAGAATATTGCCTTTTCTAACCTTAGCTGGGAACATTGAGTGCCTGACAACTAAATTGTTTTGCCACTCTACGCAGGTCCATGAATGACTATTGAAAGCACTGCAAGTATCAACTTGGGGTTACTGATAAGTTTGAACAAGTAAGTAAACTTACAAATATGAAATCTGTGAATAAGAATCAACTATACATATAAAACTACAGACACATATATACCCACACACCTGTGTGTGTGTGCCATTCAAATGATGAGCAGAAATTGTAATTGTTGAAGCTGGATGATAGGTATATGGGGACTTATTTTCCTAGTCTAATTTTGTATATGTTTGCAATTTTCCATAAGAGAAAGCTTTTTAAAGTGGTTCATTTTGGACTGCATTGCATTTATACTTTGTTTGATTCCTTACCAGCATGCTGAAGTCTGCAGCTGTCAAAGGTGAAGTTCAAGTGATGTTTTGGTACAAACAGCCATCCACCACCAACCTACCACATATCCTTCTGGGGGGCACTAATCTAGTACTCGCTCTCTGCTAGAACAGGAACAGTAACAGGCAGAATTGTAACAACAACAGCTCTTTCTCTCGGAGAGAACGCTGGGTCAGAGGCAATGGAATCCTGTATTATTTTGAGAGTCCACTGAGCCCAGACTAGCTGACTCTGTAGAAGTGCAGTTTTAATGTGCATCTATGGCTTTAGCAGACGGTAACTTGGATTCGGTCCAAGGGTGTGGATTCCAATCACTTAACTCCAGCCTGGGTTGAGTCAGCAATCCAGAGAAAGGGCCTCAGTCAAGCAATTCTTAGGAGACCCAGTCTGTCCATCTAACCGTCATATATTCTCTCGACACTAGTACATGGATATACTTGACGTTTTTAAAGAACAAGAGGTGGATAGGCAATTCCTATTTTAGAAGGTGAAGAGTCCCACTATTTTTGTATGCAAGATCAGTCCCTCCAGCAGAGTTTTGCATCTCATCCCTTCCCTTACCTTCTCATAAATCTCATGCATCAGCCATCTTCTCTCTCTTCCCCATTTTCAACATTCTCTTTCTCCTAACTCAACTCTTCCCCATCAGCATAGGCACATTCCCAAGTCTCTGTCATCTTCATAAAAATTATCCCGCAATCTTATGTGACCCTCCCACTCCATCAGAGCTTTCTCTTACCAAGTTTAATAGAAATTTAATGTGCATGTATGTTCCCACTACTTCAATGCCCAATGTTCTAGTTATATACTGCTGTGTAATAAACTACTCCCAAACTTGGGGCTTAAAGCAATAATCATATTATTATATTCATGACTTGACTGTGTGGGTGAGGAATGTGGGCAAAACTCACTAGATAATTCTTCTGTCCCATGTGGCTTCTACTGAGGTCACTCAGTGGTATCCAGCTGGTTGGCTTGGTTATTCTGGAGGGGCTAAGATGACTTCCTTCATATGTGTGGCTCATTGGTGGGGATAACTGAAAAGTTGGTCTCAGTTGGGCTGTGCGCTCTCTCTCTCCATGTCGTCTCTGGATCTCTCTGGACCTCTCCATTTGGTTTCTCCAGCAGGGCGATCAAACTTCTTATATGGTTCCTGACGTATCCAAAAGACCAAGGCAAAAGTTACAGGATTCTTACAACCTTTCCTTGGAAGTCAAGCAGCATTAATTTCTTGCATTCTTTTTGTTAAACCCTTGTACAAGGCCCACCAGATTTAACAATAGCGGCACTCCACAGAGGTAGTTACTTGGAGCTTATTCGATAGGAGCCACATGTTATAGACGACCACCACCAGGCACTTCTCAAACTGCTGCAATCTGGCCACATTCCCCATCACTCCACTGAAACTGTAATCTTTGAGGTAAAGACAGACCATTTAGTTGTTAAATTCAATAGATGCCTTTCAGTACTTGTTTTGCTTGTTTTTTTGGAATTGGACCCTAACAACCACTAAATTCCTTCTTGAAATTCTCCTCCCCTAGCTCCCGTATATCAACGTTCCTGGTCTGTTCCTCATTTTCCTAAAGTGACTTATTTCTTATGCTCTCCCTTATCTACTGGACTTTGCTATCAGCCCTCTTCTCACTCTGCATATGCTACCTGGTTACATCAACTATACCTATAGCCTCATCTACCACTTATCTATTGGTGATTCCTCAATATAAATCACCATCCCAGACTTCTCTCCAGTGATCCAGAATCTTATGTACTCACCTAGATGTTCAGCAGGTACTTCAAACAGCCAAAGCTTAATTCATCTTCCTTATGCTTGCTCTCTTCCTTCTCTTTTTTCTCCTGTATTTACTACCCACCTAGATGCCCAAGGCTGAAACTTGGAAGTCATCCTTAACTCTACCCTCTCTTCTGTTCTCCTGAATACACTTTGTCACAGATCCCTGACCATTCAACCTGCTGAAAAGCTTTTCAATTTATCTACTCCTCTCCATCCTAAATACTAGGTCTCTGGCAGAAAACTAGACCGGGGTCTCAGTTCATCATTCTCATCTGTAAACCATATAGAAATTAACATTTACTACAATAAACTCAAACACTTTTTCTGTAAAGCAGAGGTGATCCAGAGATATCAAGATAGGAGACATTTAATGAGTTAAACTCATGGGGAGAGGCACTCAAGTTGGTAGCAGTGGGATGTTGTTTCTAGGGTAAGGTTACTTCAGTTCCTGGAAACCCCCAAGTGGGGGCTTACTGGCTAATCAAGTTCCTTATACCACTGAACATGCTGTCCTGAAACATCACTGAATTTAGTGTATGTGATTATAAAAACTGCCTTTATCAAGCTTATCATCTGGATCTCACATCCAGATCGTGCGTACAATTTCTTAATACATTACCAGCACATTCTAACTACACACACCACAGGTTATACAACTGTGACCAGAGAGGTTTTGGCTTCTAGTAAATGACCAAATAGCTCCTATTAAACCCATCCTCCTTCAAATGTAACAGCTATATAGCCTGGACATAATATTTTTTAAAATTACCTCTAAGTATTCACAAGCAACCCAAGGCAGGCAGAAACTGGAAGAGAATCTACATTTAAAAGAAGAGATCAGAACTAGATGAGATTCCCATTTTTAAGACTGAACCACAGGATAGGCCCCAATCAATTCCCTGATAAGTGAACCTTACTAACTTGAAGACAAGAGGATGGAGTTCAGTGTTTCCATAGCAGCTGAAAACTGGGGGTGGGGGAAGTAGAGTGGGGGTGAAATTTTGTAATGCAGAGAGCCAGATAGGCAGAGCCCTGAATTCTGCATAACAACTCTACGCAAATTTCTGGCTGACCTCTGAATTATGCATTCATGGGACAGTCTCCAAACAATCTGTATAAGGCTAAAAGAACTGACTGGAGACTTCAGCTGCTGCTATCCTGAGGGAGACAGACCATGGAATTTGAGTTTAGTCAAGTTAAACGCTGCTAAAACAAAAATGTCAATACTCTGATTCGGAGGAATACAATGGATCCAGATTCTCTAGAACATGTCCTATGCAATGGCCAGGAGATAAGTCAAAATGACTGAACATTGTTTGAGACCAGTCAAAATGATTGAACATGTTTCCTGTGGGAAACAGAAAAATGTGACCTATACCAAAGAAAAAAGGTAATCAATCAAGACTGACCCCAAGATGACTGACACGTTAGGATTAGCTGACAAGAATTTTTAAGCAGCTATTACAATGATTCCCAAGGACACAGAGGAAAATATGCTCATAATGAATAGTGACCAGCTGTACTGCAACCATGTAAAGATGAGCAGCCTATAGAGGTGCGTGACTGGTTCACAGTCTAGAAGATAGTAAGAGACTGAGCATGGCAAGCCTGGCCAGGACCTACAGCACCCACCGACACTGTCCTAGTTCAGATTCTCATTGTTTTTCATGTAGACCATTAAAACAGGCTCGAAAATTCCCTCCCTGCTTCGGGTTACTATTTACTATGACCCCCAACATACACACAGACCCTAAACACATCTACAGTGATTCCAGAATTACCTATTTGAACACAGATTTAATTAGGACTTTACTGATTACAAGTAATAGAAACACCATTTGGGCCAAAGAGTGAATTTACTGGAAGTTTCACATAATCATAAGCAGATAAGCCTCAAGGACAAGTACAAGCAGAGACTTGAACATGAACAGGAATCTTTCAATTGCTCATCCTGCAAGTTCACTTCATTCTCTGAAACAAATTTCCTCCCCGTGGCTATAAAAAAGTGCTGTCAGCAGTTTCTGGCCACATATCTCCTAGCTGTGCTACAAAAGCAAGAGGCAATATTTCCCCTCAATTAAATTTTTAAAAATTTAAGAAAGAAATTCTGATTGTCCTGACCTAGACCACATGCTCACACCTCAACCAATGGAATCAACTGTGGCCAGAAAGACAGGTACTATGATTGGAAGCCCTCATGAGCACTGAATGGCTGAACAGCAGAGTCACAGAAGGGTTCATATCCAGGGCAAAGGAGGGATGCTGGGAAAAGAAATTATCAAATGGTAAAGTTCTAACAGGTTTCCTGTGGTCTCCAATTTGTGGCAATATCATCCTCTATGCAAATGTCAGCAACTGGGATTTATTTTATAGCAGAGACTTCTGTTGCCCCCTCCCAACATCTATTCTCCCCTTCCCCCTTCCCAGTATTTTACTGCTTGAAACATAAATGCAATGATCAAAGGACAAGTGTCACATGGTGAAGACGATGGGAGAGTAAGCCCAACTCACAGCTGAACCTAATACTAACTACAACCCCCTCACTCCCCACCTCAAATCAAGGCAAAACAACACTGAAGTTAAGAGTGCAGGTTAGAGCCAAACCACCTGAGTTTGAATCCAGGCTCTGCCACTTACTGGTTCTGTTCAGCACATTACTTTCTCTCTCTATTCCTGTTTCCTTGGACATAAAATGACCTTAATGTACCTCATAGTTGGTTGTGAGAATTAAGATCATTCATGTAAGCACTTAGAACAGTGCTCAATGAGTGTTAACTACCATTTCAAGGCGTCTCCATTTTACCCACTAAAGATCTTGGAAGATGGACCTTCTTTCACAGCCCAAAAGCCACTTTACGTTACTTCAATGAGTCACTGCCTCCTCCACAGCGTCCTCCACACTGCCTCAGCCTGACCTTTCTGAAACACCTTGACCTGACCATGTTACTCCTACTGGAAACCCCTCAATGATTCTTCCTTTCCTACAAAATGAAATCTTTTCTCTAGCCTAGTGACCAAAGTTCCTTGCATAAGAGCCCAACTGGGCTTTCTGGGCTCATCTCCTGCCACTCCTCTATGATGGCCCAAAGCCCAGCCACACTGAACTATTCTCTACCATCACCTTCCTACCTGCCTTTAAAGTACTAACCACTTCTGTGTTCCCTCCTTCCTGAACTCCTTCCTCTGTTGGCTGCCGTCGCACCACACACCCTCCTGGTTTTCTTCCAATATCCCTGGCTATTCCATTTCCATCTTTCTCATGGGTTTCTCATTATTCAGCCGATCTGTGTCAAGGTTAGTGGGCTCCATCCTTAGTCCACTTCCTGTTTTACTGCATATCCTGCCCCACAGTGATGGCATCCCCTGGCAAGCCTCTAAGCTCCGCCGATAGGCTCATGATTCCCAGATTTTCACTCCTGACCTCTTTCCTGAGCTTTGGTTTCACACATCCTAATAGATCACACCCCCTGAATAGACACCTCAACCTCAGCATGTCCAAAACTGAACTCATGCTCCCCATCCAAACCCACTTCTTCTCTTTATTCTGAACCTGTTGTTGGCACCACCATCACCCAAGCCTGGAACTCTTTGATTTCCACATCTAAGAAATGACCAGATCCTGCTAATTCATGTCCTCAATAACTCTCCAACCTGTCTTCTCTCCACACTCACTGCCATGGCCCTCATTCTGGCCCAAATCCCCTCTGGCACAGATTCTGCAATAGTCTCCTTCCTGCCTGCCTCCAGTCACTCCTCCAATCCAATGGGCAACCTGTTACCCACCTCCAGCAAAAACCTCATCATGTCACTGCCCTGCTTGAAACCCTTCACTCATTCCCACTGCCCAGTCAGACACTATTATCCTGTGTCTCATAGTAACTAAATATCTACCATGTACTGGAACCTGTGCTAAGTATGAGGAATGCAATGTTGAATGTGAAATGGCTGCTGCCTTTTAAGGAATTTACCATCTATCTGAAAAGACAGATACATAAATAACCACTAATAACATGATGTAATAAGAGTATTACAGGAGCACAAGACTTAGGGGCAGGGACCACATCTTCCTAATCTTCTATCCCCAATATCTGATACCAAGTTTGATTCACTAGAGAATTTTATTTGCATACTGAAAAGATGCCTTCCTCTGAGCCTCGGCTTCCCACTATATAAAATGGCTCACACCTCACATATCATATATATATATATATATATATATATATATATATGTTTATGTTACATATAACATAAATATTATATATACATATAATATGCCTACACATTATATATGCATATATGTCTGATATAGTGCCAGAAGTCTCAAAAGACATCAGTTTTGCTTCTCTTCTTACCCCTTTAACTCCCTCCATGGGAGGCATAGCAGAGGAAACATCAGGTCAGTGATGTCAGAATTAGAAGTCCAACAACTGAACTGGAAACAGCATCATTTCTCTCCTCTGTCTAGAGTGGCTGGAGCACCAGGCAGCTCCCAAAGCAGCCTTGGGCAGGAACAGCAGTGCTCCAAGACCATCAGAACAAAGGGAAAGAAATCACGGCTTGAACTTTTGTGGACAGGAGAAAAAACCTGACGTGGACATAAACACCGACTCCCGGCTTGAAGTGAGCTGCTCTTTTCCTCTGCTACTTAAAATCCTTCTGCAATATCGCCACCTGGTGGCTATCTAGCATCCCGTCACTTAATTCCCCAGTGCAGTTTGCTCTGAGAGCAAACTGAACTGTCAAAGTTCTGGAAGAGACCAGCCTCGCTGAACTATTCTCTGAACTGCTCAAAGTTAATCATATCCTTCTCCACGTCCCAGAAAGTCTCTTGTACTTAAGCTCTGTTATAGCACCTCTCATTGCATTATAATTGTTTACCTGTAAGCATTCATTCATACACCCAACAAACTTACTTCGTAAGTGTCATGTGTAGAACAGACAGGCAGAGGAGACACAATGATGAACAAAACCAGCTGAGCATGTAAACACAGAATTAAACATGTACACAGAGAATTAAAATAGCCAGAGTTCCACCTACTATAAAATAATTATTATATTTAACATTTGTTGAGTACTGAATACTATATCTGTATTATCCCATTTAATGCTCACAACTCAATGAGGTCGATAATATGATTATCTTCATGTTACAGATGAAGCAAAAGAAGAACAGAAAGGTTGGGTAAACTGTCCAGAGTCACACAGCCAGGAAATGCTAGAGCTCAGATTTAAGCCTATCCTGGGTCCAGAACCCATGCCCTAGTTTGAAAACAAAACAAAAAACTACTGTCACTATAACCCTGCCCCAATGCATGTTTGATAATTCAATAAATAAAAACCTTGTACCTCTCAAACTGAAGGAGGGAAAAATTGAGGTAATAGAATCTCCTAGTAGGAGGTTAAGCTAATCAAGAACTTGACTCCATCCCTATGAGTCTCACCTAGCCCCTGGAGACACACTCTGCTTGATCCCTGCCCCTACTGTAACCCCGCACCCCCCAAGCCCCAAAGTGAGTGCTCTTCCTTTCATATGTGAATAAACATAAACCTGAAAAAAGCCAATCCTTCAAGATAGATCTTGAGCAGCTAACTGGGCCTAAATGTAAAATAGAACCAACCAGCCATTTGATGACTAGGGGTCACACACATACTCTGAGTTCCCTGAAAACCGGCCCTCTTTTATCTTTCAGACTTTCAGCCCTTCCCTAAAACAACCAATCAGAGCTCATCTGCCTCAGCCAATCGGAGCTCAGCTGTGTTGACCAATCAGGGCTCAGCTATATGGACCAATCAGAACTCAGCTGCATTGACCAATCAGAACTCAGCTGCATTGACCAATCAGAACTAAACATATTTCAATCCTTCCTTATAAATGCACTCTCGTTTTACACCAGAGGCTGACTACTGAGTTTGCAAACTGTTCACTGGAATAGTCTCTTTCCTCCAGTTTCCTTTTCAGAGACCTTTTGTTCACAGATGTCCTGTCTCAAATATAGACCAAAAAAAAAAAAACCATATGATTCTTCCTAACAGGACGGAGACAGTTGGCATTTTCAAGATGCTACCAAATTCTAAAAGTGAACAGAACAGAAATAAATTTCGTAAAACGTTCAAAAAGTTTCTATTTTCACCACACTTACACGGTTTTTAGGCTTTGTGCATTTGATATTTGGATTTATGGCTAGACTCAGAGATTTAAAATGTGGCTGCTCACCAGCCAGCACAGTGGTTCACGCCTGTAATCCCAGCACTTTGGGAGGCTGAGGCAGGAGGATTGCTTGAGGACAGGAGTTTGAGACCAGCCTGATAGGGAGACACATAGGGAGACCCAGTATCTACAAAAAATACACAATTTAGCCAGGCATGGTGGTGTGCCTATACTTACAGTTACTGGGGAGACTGATGAGGTGTGAGGATCACTTGAGCCCAGGAGGCACAGGTTGTGAAACAGGAAAAGTTCCCTTGTCCCCCTCGCAGGGTGTGCAATAGGGCTGTGGCTCACTTCTTCAGTGCCCCACGGCTCAAACCTCTATGGAAGCATACAGATGGGCAGGGAGCCCCATGGCAGTGTCTAGGGATGAATGTTTATAGCTGAAGCCCCAGTGGGCATGTGTTACAGGGTGTTCTTTTGGTTTAGCTGCCCATAGGCAGCTTGTGTTAACTCAATTAGACCCCTGCCTTATCACAAGGACAGAGATTTCTGTATCCCGAGTTCTTGCTTTGGTGTACTGGAGGAATCAGATCACGTGCGGGCTTGGAGAATGAGTGCAAGGTTTCACTGAATGGAAGTAATTCTCAGTAGACAGGGGAACCAGAAGGGAGATGGTTTTCCTCTAGAGTCGGGCCATTCGGCAGCCCAGGCTCTTTACTTACTGTCCTAGTCAAACTCCATGTTGTTCTGCTGGTCGGTGGTCTGTCGGTGCGTTCCTCTCAACATCCAGCCACCTGTGTTTTCCTCCACTGATGTGCTCCTCTCAGTGTCTAGCCACATGTGTCTCTGCCTACCAGGGTCTCTGGGTTTTTATAGGCACAGGATGGGGGCATGGCAGGCCAGGGTGGTCTTGGGAAATGCAACATTTGGCAGAAAAACAAAAATGCCTGTCCCTCACCTACGTCCATGGGCACAGGCCTGAGGGTAGAGCCCCAGCCAGGGACCAGGCCCTTCCCTTCTTCCATATCATTTAAAGGTATCACCCTTCCCTTCCCAGTAGTTCCCTTCACCCTTCCGTATCAGTTGCAGTGAGCTGTGATGGCATGACGACACTCCAAACTGGGTGAGAGAGAAAGACCATGTCTCAAAAATAAAAATCAGCTGGGTGCAGTGGCTCATGCCTGTAATCCCAGCACTGTGAGAGGCTGAAGCCAGTGGATCACTGGAGGCCAGGAGTTCAAGACCAGCCTGGCCAACATGGTGAAATCCTGTCTCTACTAAAAATACAAAATTAGTGGTCATGGTGGTGCATGCCTGTGATCCCAGCTACTTGGGAGGTTGAGACAGGAGAATCACTTGAACCTGGGAGTTGGAACTTGCAGTGAGCCAAGATTGCACCATTGCACTCCAGCCTAGGCAAAAGAGTGAGAATCAATATCAAAAAAACAAAAATAAAAATAAAATGAGGATTTTAGTAAACAATCTGTGCAAGACATTGTGCTTTGCACTAGTGATGCATTACCTCATTTAAACTTCTCACCAAACCTGTGAAGCAGGTAGATATTTCCATTTTACAAAGATAGTAGGACCAAAGAGGTAAAGTAAGTTTCCCAGGGTCACACAGCCAATAAGCAGAAGATCTGGCATTTGAACTTAAGTTGTCTGACAACAGATCTTTAGTTTTTTATGACTATGATACACAGCCTGCCCTCCTTATTTATTTACTTATTTAGAGACAAAATCTCACTCTGTTGCCCAGGCTGGAGTACAGTAGTGGGATCACAACTCACTGTAGCCTGGACCTCCGAAGCTTGAGAAGCAATCTTCCCACCTCAGCCTCCCAAGCAGCTGGTACTACAGGCATGTGCCACCACATCCTGATAATTTCTATCTTTTTTGTTGAGACAGGATTCTGCCTCTTTCTCAGTGGGTGGGGATCACTGCATAGTTTCTGGCTTTCTCCCAGGGATAAGCCTGGATTTTATTCTTGCATTGGCTCGTTGAGGGAAATTAATTATATATATTTCCATGGCTTGTGTTAAATTGAACTACTTCTTACCACCCATTTTCTTCAACTAATCAGCTCTCACTCACTCTGTAGGACTAGGTCAAAACTCATGCCTCCTGCAGAAAGCCTTCCCTGGTCTCTCCAATTACCCCCTTTAACATTGGTGTCTCCCAAATTCATTCTAAAGGAGAGGTTCAAGTATAATCAACTTTCTGGGGAATACTATCAACAGTAGAAGGATTGGCAGTCCATCTCTGGGGAAATTTTATCTCAAACATATCTCCAGATATTTTCACATGTCTACGAGCAAAGAAACAGGCTGGCAGGGACAAGAACATCATGGTCTCACTGGCTGCATATAGTTCTCACCCACTGGCCTGCTCATGAATACAGCACAGCCTCCACCCAGGACAGTCTTTTAGAGTCCTGAAGAGACAGGAGAAGAACACCTTAAGCATTTTGTGGGTCAGTCCAAATCTTGCCCACTGCTAAGAAGTTCTGACCTAAGTATCCACATATATCAAAATTATTATTTCATATGGAGATCCGATGCCCCAGGCAAAATAGAAACCTATGAGTAGGGACTTTCAGAATGGCAGAGTGAAAACCTCCAAAAATCTGCTCCTCAAATACAGCAATGAGAATATTGGCAAAAATTGTTAAATCAAGTTTTTCAATATTCTGGAAATTATCCAAAAGCTTGCAGCAATCTAAGGGGCAGTTATTTAAGAAAGCAAGTGAATCTTGGCAAGAACACTGATCTTTGTGGCCTTTTAACTTGTTCTATTCACATACCCCTCTCTTTGGCTCAGTGGCAGCCTTGAAAACCGGAAGCCTCACAATCACAGTAAGCTGTGAAATCCAGCTGCTGGGACAACTAGATATGCACCTGGAAAACAAAGCTGGGCTCCAACTTCACACTACATGCCAAACTTACCCCAAAACAAAGGCACAGGAAAGAAAAATATAACACTCCTGGAAAACATAGGTGTAAATCTTCAAAACCTCAGATATTCACATGAATTTTTACAATGAAACAAGTGACTTGAGACATTTTGTACCTTGGCCCATAACCATGTGGTCACTTGGTAGCTGTACTCAACGTTTATAACCAATATCTTTGAAAGCTCACTGATTAAGCAATTCCAACAGTACAAGGACTTCCACTTCTCTTTTTTTCGAGGGTCTCACTCTGTCACCCAGGCTGGAGTGCAGGGGCATAATCACAGTTCACTCCACCTCCTTGGCTCAAACAATACTCCCACCTCCAGAGTAGCTGGGACCACAGGCATGCACCACCACATCTGGCTAATTTTTGTATTTTTTGTAGACACGAGATTTTACCATGTTGCCCAGGCTGGTCTCAAATTACTGGGCTCAAGCAGTCTACCCCTCGACCTCCCAAAGTGCTGGGGTTACAGGTGTGAGCCACCACACCCAGCCCTACGACTTCTATTCTTACCTACGAATAGAATAGGTTACCCAGCAAAAACTATTGATGTAGATAAAATATAAAATGTGGACACATATGGAGACTTTAAAAGTGAGCCAGCCTTCTCACTACTATGCTTGACTAGTCTTTTTTTTTTCTTTTTAAAGTGCTCATGATAAGCCTGGGCAATGTGGTTAAACCCTGTCTGTACAAAAAAAACATAAAAATTAGCTGGGCATGGTGGCACTGTCCTGTAGTCCCAGCTATTTGGGAGGCTGAGGTGGGAGGATTGTTTGAGCCTGGGAGTCGAGGCTGCAGTGAGCCATGATCTTACCGTTGCACTCCAAC